CTCCAGGCCTGGCTCCAGAGGGGGGCCCCGGTGACCCGCGTCCGGGCGAGGGAACGCCAGATCCAATGTTTGATTGTCAACTACCAGTCAACTACCTTTGCTACAAATTACCGTTTTTGTTCTGGATTTCCAAAAGAGAGCCTTCAAGTTCAACTTAGCTACTTGGTCCACCAGGAGAATTTTCAGACCCTACTTCTTCATCTATGGCCGGAGCGAGAGATTGACCTCATCTTCCGTGATCAATTAGTTTTTATGCTGTTACTAACCCAAAGGGGAAGTTTCCAGATCCTCCTTGCCAATGTCCCAGTCTTACTAACACCTATGCYCTTCAGTTCCTCTTTTTACTAACTATTGTTATTTTCTAACCTTCATCAAATTCACTTTATATATCGTAAAACATTTAATCATTATTCTTGTTCTTCAAAATCATCTTCTGTAACCAATAACTTCCTTCTTCTTACAGCTCTTATTCTTACTTCCTGTTTTTTTTTATATTAAAACAGTATTACTGTCCCTTGCTTGTCACACATTTGTTTTATAGATTCAACATATTCATTTATCTATAAAATCAAAGTAAAAATCAATACTCAAATCAACAGTTATGGGTTAACATACTAATTACACTTTTGATCACAAACCTTTGATTATGACACCTCATTTTTGACTTTAATATTTTTCAAGTYTCTGTTAAAAGTCAAAGGTCCACAACTTTCTTGTAGAAATTGTTACTTCTGCTTTTCTTGTGCAGCTAAGTTCACTTCCATTCTCTCAACACTTTTTCACCACATTTCTTGACAGTCAAACAAGAGCGTTGTTTTCTGAGTGGATTCTCCTGTGTCTTTTTAAGTTGCTCTGAAGGCTAAACCTTCGATCACACACTTCACAATGAAATGGCCTCTGTTGCGTGTGGAYTCTCATGTGTTTGTTTAAATCRCCCTTTTCATTAAACCTTCGATCACACAGCTAACAGCAGAACTGCTTTTGTCCTAAGTGGATTTCCATGTGTTTGTGTAAACTATTATTTTCWGTAAACCTTCGACCACACAGCTCACAACAAAATGGCTTCTCTCCTGTGTGGATCCTCATGTGTGTGTTTAAATGGTTCTTTGTGGTAAACCTTCGATCACACAGCTCACAACAAAATGCCTTCTCTCCTGTGTGGATCCTCATGTGTGTGTTTAAATGGTTCTTTGTGGTAAACCTTCGATCACACAGCTCACAACAAAATGGCCTCTGTCCCGTGTGGACTCTCATGTGTTTGTTTAAATTACTCTTTCCAGCAAATCTTCGCCCACACAGCTCACAACAAAATGGTTTCTCTCCTGTGTGGACTCTCCTGTGTTTGTTTAAACTACTCTTTTCAGTAAACTTTCGATCACACAGCTCACAACAAAATGGCTTCTCTCCTGTGTGGATTCTCATGTGTGTGTTTAAATGGCTCTTTCTGGTAAACCTTCGATCACACAGCTCACAACAAAATGGCTTCTCTCCTCTGTGGATTCTCATGTGTGTGTTTAAATGGCTCTTTCTGGTAAACCTTCGATCACACAGCTCACAACAAAATGGCTTCTCTCCTCTGTGGATTCTCATGTGTTTGTTTAATTTACTCGTTCTGGTAAACCTTCGATCACACAGCTCACAACAAAATGGCTTCTCTCCTCTGTGGATTCTCATGTGTTTGTTTAATTGGCTCTTTGTGGTAAACCTTCGCCCACACAGCTCACAACAAAATGGCTTCTCTCCTCTGTGGATTCTCATGTGTGTGTTTAATTGGCTCTTTGTGGTAAACCTTCGCCCACACAGCTCACAACAAAATGGTTTCTCTCCTGTGTGGATTCTCATGTGTGTGTCTAAACTGCCCTTATGGGTAAACCTTCGATCACACAGCTCACAACAAAATGGCTTCTCTCCTCTGTGGATTCTCATGTGTGTGTTTAAATGGCTCTTTCTGGTAAACCTTCGATCACACAGCTCACAACAAAATGGCTTCTCTCCTCTGTGGATTCTCATGTGTGTGTTT